CCACGTGAGGTTACGATAACCTATTAAACTTTTATTTTACTAGGTAAGGCTCACTGAACTATAATGCTCTTTTTCAGAAGCGACCTGGCTGCATGTCGTAGCTCAAGGAAGTGGCTAATCACGTGGAAATTTCTAGCAGCCAAATACTCTAAACGTATGTTGATGCTAAATGTGGAGGAGAAACCGGAGCACCTCCAAAAAATGCACGTGACCGCTGGGAATGAGAAAATGCAAACTCCAAATATCCAGGTGTTGGGGTCGGGATCGAACCCACGACCTCCTGTATACTAGGAAAGCGGTTAACATCTCGCCACGGCAGCGCGCACCGCCTTACATCTGACCCCCGACGCAGGCTGCTGGAGTGAAGGACGTTGTAAAATGAAAAGAGCAAACGAAAATAATACAAACCTCGTTGTTTTTAAACAAGATGACAAAAAATGCAACATTTGAGCTGAATCCTGCTTATTAATCTAACTGTAGGGGTGCAGGGAAGGGAGGAGGGGGGGGGGTAATTGAGGGAGCTGAATTAATCCGAGCGCAAATTACTGGTCACGCCGACTGGCTGTGAGGTGACCCAAATGGCCCAGCTATTTAAAAAATATTCAACGCAAAAACATAAAAAACATAAAAAAGCAATAAGCAATTCAACGGATTGGCATCGCTTACGGTGCGATTCGATGATAAATGTGATCACTTTTGTCCCATTCCTTCGGGTGTAGTTTGTAATGCAACCGCTTGTGCATTATTTCTCGTACGTCACATGTATTTTATTCGTAGATTGTAATCGATCGATTCTCACTGGCATGATTTGATTGTCGCGTCTTGAGCGTAAAGAATCGATTCTAGTCGACAATTTGTCGCACGTCCGCTGAATATCCAATCGGCATCTGCTTAAGTGAGCTATTCTTATGCATCGCAGGCGGAGGTCTTGTCATTATAATTGGAGCGGAATGTGCGTTGCATCCTTGACACGTCCATGGAAACCAAATTCGCAGCTTTTAACTTCTCTATTTTCTGTCTCTTGAAGTTTACCGCATCCTCAGCTCCTCTGCAATCAGTTTTTTTCTTGTTGGGTTTTCCCGTCAATATCTCACCTGGAAAATGTACACTTGAACAACGCCTTTCATTTGTACTCTTAGTTCTTTCGGTAAAGTCACGTAGGTAAAAAATGAAATTAATATTAATAAAAAATAAAACAAAAAAATCACTGACGTTTAGGAGGCAACACAAGTCTCCGTCATCAGGTGGAACCGTCACAGCCAGATTTGCTGCATCAAGTGAAAGCTTCAAATCTAGCCTTTCATTTGGTTTCAAATTTTACCAACGTTTTTTGTATTCCTTACCCGCTTGATCTCAGAAGCGTTAGATGTGCTTGTGCAGCGTTTTCGCTTGTTCAATTAATCATTTGCGTAAGGAGTTCAACGTCCCCGGCATCCGAAAATCCTACCGGGAGCTCTTTCACCTCCAACACAATTCAAGGTCCTTGTCACTTTAAAAGCGGGGACTTTTAAAGTGGCCGTCCCCTTAAGGCGTTGTCGAGTCATGGTTTCTCATTGCCCTCGAACCAAATGAGAGGCAACATTGGCCTCAAATTGGAGTTTCTGCGTTCAACCGCGGCGGAAAAGTACCAGCGCAGCCACCGATTTAGCACGGTTGGCTACGTACGGTGCGAAAGAAGTTCAACACGCATGTGTACCTACGTTCAATCGGCGTCTGGGTAAAAACCACCCGTCAGTGGCAGGATCTAGCTGCCCCGAGAACGCTCTCCGGGCCGTTGAGAACTCAAATGGCGGTTTGTTAAATGGCTCCGTTAGTCATGGGCCTCGTTGCTTTCAAGATTTAAAATGCACCCTTTGTTCCACCGTTCGTGTGACCAATAAGGAAGCATGATGCAGTGGGGTGGTGGCCGAGAGTGGCAAAGGTGAATCGAAGGACTCCATGCTGACATTCTTAGAAAAACCTAACGGTTCTTACGGTTCGTGTTCCGAGGTCACCGGGCCGTGCTTGTGCTGCAGCAACATTCGTGGTACAAACGTTCTTCTCTGCCTCCGTGCGTTGGGCTACCCCCGCCTGGCTTAAGGGAGAAGACCGCCTGGGTATCGATCCGACGGGGAAATAAATTAATATATTTTTGTTCCTCTTACGCTTTTGTTTCAAAAGGCTCCGTTTGAAGGATTTGTGCATTTCAATAAACGTGCCATCTCAGCAAAGAGCAGCGGTGTGCGGTGGTTGCAGGAGTTTCTGTTTAGATTTTTTTTCTCTCCTGTCTGCCAGCGGTGTGGAGATGATGGCAGGGGTTGTTGAATCTTTTTGCCACAATTTGTGGATGCTGTGCGAGACCTGGAAATAATGCCTACTTTCGTGCCACTGTTTATCCCGTTTATTTTTCTATTGGAACGTGCATACAACCGTTGGTGTGTTAGGGTATGATGGCCCGCTCTGAAATACATATCACAGAACAAACTCGGATGCTTCAAGTGACCTCTGGTTCACACAGAAGGACTAAGCAGTTTCCAACCCACCTTGCCGCTGGGATCGAACATTGCGTCCGCTTCGATCATGACAGTGAAACTGGTACATTCATATTTAAATACATAATTTTTCCTAAACCACAGCATGCGTACTGAATTAATTCGCTAGCAAAGCCATTGTCTCAAGCCTGTTTGCATTTATCACCCGCAACAATCATATTGTCTAACTTGTCATGGCTAAAAAAAAAAATTGTTGTAATGAAATTCTTGCTCTTTTGTGCCCTTGACTTTTTTGTGTTGCCTGTCATCCGGTAACGGATTTGTCTGCAATTAAATTCTCCCCCCCCCCGCCAACCATTGAACATATAAAAGGGGCATCATGACATCTGGGACGTGTGTGGGAGGTGCGTTATCAAAGCCGGGGGTGGGGGTATTGGCGGCAGTATCGTGCACTGCAGCGTCGTTCTCTGCCAAACACGAGAGCTCCTTCTAAGTGACGCCGAGTCTGCCTTGACCCAGAAACTCCCACCGCTCTCTCTTCCCCGTGGACTGCTGCGAGGGGGGTTGGCAATGTGTTTCGCCATCCCCGTGTTCTTAGCTTTTTAACCTCCTTGTCTCTGCGCTTTACCGAAGCGCTCCCTTTTGAAAGACGAGAAACTTTTAGTCTCTGTGGGCTTGTACGGGATTGTAAATGAAGGTCAGGCACTGGTGTTGTTTAAATGAAGGTCATTTACACCCCTCCTCGCCGCCATTGTGTTCTGCGTCCTCTCAGAAAACGGTTGCGATTTATCGTTTTGGAAGCTCCGTGAGTGAATGAGCCTCTGTTACTTGCGTTCAATTATTCAAACACTGCGTTTGTATTGTGCGCTGTTAGAAATGTGCATTTGCCACGAGTGTGTATTTTGAAGACGGTGTGTGTGCGTCTGTGTGTCTATAAGCCACTGCGTGGGGTATTGAAGTAGTGGTCATTGTACGACACTAAAATAGCAGCTGCCTGGGTTTATTTGCTGGCAGTCACAACACCAGTGCCTGTTTTTGTCCAGTGTTTATCCTGGCCCCGCCTCTATCTACTCGGCATAAAACTAGGTGCCAGGTGTGGCGTGAAGGTGGTTCCCTGGTGCTGACCACACACCACCACTATGTACGCGCCTTGCTAGATGGCCATGAGATGACAGCGGTACAGATCGTCTGTGTGGACATTTTGAGTGTTCTTCTCTTGATATACTTGGGTTTTTGGTTAAATCCACACAAAACACCCCTGAGCAATTTTATAAATATCTGCATGCAAGGCCTTCCCATAGAGTGTTCCAATTACCTCCCAACCTTCTTCTGGTTATTAAATGGCATTATTATTATTACCAGCACTTGCCTCGGCTTGCTATTACCAGGTTATAATTTACTTGATTTGATTAACTGAGTTGCAGTCGATTGATAGGATGTATATAAATGTGGAAGCGTTGTTCCAATAAAACTTAACCTACTTGCCGGCAGAAGACGTGTATATCCCTTTCATATTTTGTAAATAAATGCATTTAGTACACAGGGAGTTTCGAGTCCAACTAAGCTACACATGGTAGGTCATATCTCATCGCAGGAAGGTATAATCAGTGGTTAGCACCCTGTGGTATGAACCCCGGTAACCCAAGGTGGATTCCTGGCCAAGGCTGATATCGGTGGAAAAAGTAACATTCGAAACTAAAACCATTTTCATTTTACCCAGTAAGCCCCCACTGAGATCTTAGCTCTTTTTTTTTAAGAAGCGACCTGGCCACAGATGATCGCTCAACGAAGTGGCTTATCTCGTGAAAATTTATAGCAGCCAAATACTCTTAAATGCATATTTCTGAATGTCGAGGGAAAAAACTGAGCACCAGGAGAAAACTATGCGACCACGGAGAGAGATGCGCAAACTCCAAATATACAGCAGGCGTAAGGGTCAGGATCGAACCCACGACTTCCTGTATACCAGGCGAGTTCGTTAACATCTCTCCACCGTGGAAGAGGTCCGACCGCTTCACTCCACACCACCCTTATTAGCAGCCTGCTCTGACCAGCGGGGTGAGGTATGGTGAAAAGAATCATCCTCATGACCGACGAGGCATCACGATGAGAATCTTTATTTCGACTGCACGAGGAATCCGATGAACTATGAAGCTCTTCTTTTCACAGATGTCCAGTCGGGGTGGGTCAGAAAGCTACAACAATAAAACTGATGGCAGTGCAAAATATAGGAAGGGTAAGCAAGTCCCCTAAAAAAATTAGAAATACAAATTGCAAAAGTGTTTATCACTTTAGTGCATGGATGGGAGGGAGGTCTCTGCATCCATTGGTGGATTGAGATTTTCTTTGATATATGAGAAAGCATTGACCTAGAAACCCCTGTTTTGGGATAAATTAGTATTTTGTAACGGTTCTTGCGTCGCGAATGGAACGCGCGCCCGATGGTTTCCCAACCACTGACCCGAGCTGGTGCACGTGTGTTTCCCTCTCTTTCTTTCCCCTCTCCTCTCCCTCCCTTCCTGACCGCAGGCGGAAGGCGTTCCTCTTCTCCATCGCGTACCTGGTGCTCATCTTCTGGGGGCAGCATGCCATGAAGCAACGGCCAAAGTTTGAGCTCCGGAAGCCGCTCATGCTGTGGTCCTTGAGCTTGGCGCTGTTCAGGTGAGAAGCCGGTGCCAGGGAGAGACATCGAAGGGTGGGGGAGGGGGGGCCCTCGCCCATCGGTCATCGTCACCGTCATCACGTTGCTGTCGGTTCTAGCGAAACACGATCGTCAAGTTGCACGTGTATCTCGAGAACCAAAAGGATGAGCAGCAATAGGCCAAATATCTACAAAAGAAATCCCCCGCCTTGCCCTATTCCAAAATACATGTTCGCAAACATGAACAAGAGTTTGCAAACATGAACAAGAGATGTTTTCTTGTTCATGTTTTAGTTTTTTTGTTTGTTGCGGTTGCACCCGATTCAAGAGCCGAATGGCTCACAGGGCTACACCTGATAAATGAAACTTGAAACTTGAAAACTTGTTTCGGGAGGGTGTGACCCAACCCGGAGAGAGGACAAAAAACGTTTAATGGCGGGACTGATCGCTTGCGAGTTCTCACGAGATACGCCGGCCGTTCGTCTTCGACACCAAACGATCCGTTACTGCGTCGGGGTCGGCTGCTTGGACTCTCGCTCTCTGTGCAACCTCTACTCTGCTGTGCCTCTTCTCTCGACGGAGCCGCTGGCCCCAGTTATAGCTGAAGGGGAGAGAGTGTCATATGAAGTGGAGGTGGGGGGGGGGAGTTGGATTGGATGAGATGGAGGGAACTTTAGCCAGCAGAAAACTCGATTATAACACTATTTATCCAGAGTATCTTGTGGGTCATTGTCTCGTCTTCAAAGCAGAGAGAGGGCATGAAAAAGCCAGAATATCATTAGAGGATATACTTGAATGTACAATGTCTTTAATTCCTCCAGTGTTTTCAGGGCACTGCATTGTGAAGTGATGTAAGGAAGGACCATGGCCTGATACAAAATTAAAATGTCACCAATTCTCAAGACATTTATTTTTAGGAGGGCCCTGCAATGGGAGGAATCCAGATCGCCCAAAAACACAAATAATTCAATACTGATAATCCAATAGCCACATGGTGTACACAGGAGTGTTAATGACAAAAGTGGTGCGTTTTTTGGAAATGTTTTCTCTACATTTGTGTTAAAAATTGCTTTATATATTTTATCATCATTATCATCATCTTCTTATTATGTGTTGACTTTTGTTTTCAGAGATTATTGTGGCCTAAAAACCAACACCTGAAAATGCTAACTTAACAATCGCTAATTGTGGTTAAAATGGCGAGTGAGTGGTATCCTTAAAACGGGTGTATGGCTACTGATCGCCGTTAGAACTCTACATTTGGGTGTTATGGGTGTGGTAGCGACATGTACACTTGCTTTTACAAGCCTTCCAACTAAGCTCGGAGGCATAAATGCATATTATGTTGAACTTCTTTCGCGAATTCGTACGTAGCCAACCGTGCTAATCGGAGGTTCGGGGAAGGACAACAAACTTAAACACAAAGCAGTTCTAAAGAAGTTAGTTTTCAAACTAGCATGAATCCATTAACTCAGTCCCATCTGTCTGTCTAACATGGCCATGAAAATTCTCATCAAGATGATCCAGTATAGATACAATTTTAGTTTCAAAAAGGTATTACTATGAAGGATTTGCCCTGTGAAAATGTAAAAATAATTTTACCAAAAAACCAACGGCTCTGGGAATAGTATCCATGTGGTAGTGCTGGCTTATTGCTTATCCTGTTTGTGTCGGCTCTGTAAAGCAGCAGAGATATTCCCAATATCCAGTCCACGTGAACCACCATGGTCCACTCTTCCATGATTATCTTTGTCTTCTTTGTCCGAATGCAAATGAAGTAATTGCATGCTGCATGCACCTGGTGATTGGTAAACAGCAGCTGCATTTTATGCTGAATGCACTGATTAAAATGTAGAGTGCACTTGACCTGGATGCCGCAGTGGTGAGGTGTTAACTACCTCGCCTGGTATGAATGACTTAATGGGTTCGATCCTGACCCTGTGATGCCTGCTATATATTTTCAAGTTTCCATCTTCTCTATCCCCATCGTCGCGTGGATTTTTCTCCGGGTCCTCCGGTTTTGCCCTCTACATTTTAGAAACGTGCGTTTTTAGAGTATTTGGCTGCTAGAAGTTTTCCACCTGATAAGCCACTTCGTTGAGCTATCATTTGTGGCCAGGTCGCTTCTGAAAACGAGCTATATTGCTCGGTGAGCCTTACCTGGTAAAATAAAATAAAAATTTAATTAGCTTAGTTTTTCACGAGCAACCTAAGCTTACGAAAAAATGTGTACACCAGAAAATGTTCAACATTACGGCCTCAACGTGTTAAGACTTCGTTTTGGATGAATAATAACAGACCTCTAATAGCTAATAGCTCAATGGGCCTTACCTGGTAAAATGAAAAATTGTTTAGTTTTTCCTTACTATACCTGGGACAAAGATCCCCACATGTAGCATTTAACAAACTGTCGGGGCAAGTGCTGTTAGCGAGCACCTGCTGACGGGCCTGCACGTTATTAAAGGGGGTGGGTGGCCAACACCACGCCCGGACCGCCTTAGTCTCCCCGGTGCTGACGTTTACACACCGAACTAAGTACTCATTTAAGGCCGAGTCAACCTCAGGGAGGCCCAGGACCGATTCAAATGTTCACAACCTAGTCTTGGCCGCAAGCGGGAATAAAACTCTGACCGCCAGGTTCTTAGCGTGGTGCGCTAACCTTCGTGCCAACATGCTCCATGTCTGAGATACGTGCGCACGCATAATACCTCTCTCATAGAATCGGTGCTCTTTGCATGACGTGGTTCACACAATACAATATATTTATTTAAATTAGCACGCTCTTCGTCGTAGGATCATCTGGCGTATGCAGTGTGTGTAACGTCTTAATTTGTATTTTAACGAAGATTTGTTAAGCATGGAACGGGGGTGGGTCACGAGGACTGACGTTTGGGAAAGGCCCCCCCCCCCCCCCCCCCGCTGCCCAAGTGAGAACTGTAATGTCATCAGAACGGATTGAGCAGCGGAGGAAACGAAACGCAGGTCATTTTCTGCTCTTCCCACAGGAGAAGAGGAAAAAAAATTGAATGCCGAGTTCTGTGTTTACCGATAGAACTTCCCTCCTAGGTTATTTACGGTCATGCTGAAATATCTCCGTTTTGTCGGTGTTGTTACCGCGTGTTTTTCGGCACGATGTCCGACGTTTTGCTACCGCGTGCTGGGAACTTCTTAAGGAACTGAATACTTGAGCTGTAAACTTAACTCTTTTTGTTTTACCGGGTGAGGCACACTGAGATTTGTAGCTCTTTTTCAGAAGCGACCTGGCCGCAATGATAGCTCATCGAAGCGGAAATGTATAGCTGGCAAGTACTCTAAACGCATGACGTTGATTTAAAATGTGGAGAGAAAAACCGGAGGACCACGGGTAGAGAGACACGCAAACTCCAAATATGCAGGCTTCAGGTTCATGATCAAACCCACGACCTCCTGTAAACCAGGCGAGGTAGTTAACATCTTGTCACTGCGGTGCCCTTGGTGTACAGTTCGACGTTTCTGATGTAGCGCGAATCGTCAGGCACTATGGCAAACAAAGCGCACCGCAGCTTAACGTCGCTTTGAGAGCTGTTCATCTCGGATTCTCCCTCGCTGCGCCTGGCACGCGCTCACTGGAGTGCGTGTAACCTACGGCGTTCCAACTTCGAGCAGTCCTTGAATGTCCAGCGGTCAGGTTTATCACACGTGCAGGAGCTACTCTGCTGAAATCTGGATCTTGTCGAGGAAAGTTCTCGTGCCAGACCTGCGTCGCTTGACATCGCATCGTGTGCGCGCGTGGCAAGGCCTCGCGAAACTCCACCGTAGATGATGTTGTCGCGAGGTCCTACCCTGGTGTCAAACATGACAACTTGCCGCTCACCTTTCCTGTCTTTTAAATAAAGGAGCGAACAAACCCTGGGTAGGTCAAATAACGCGTGACGGGGGCGGGGGGGGGGGGCGCGGCAGATTCGTTGGTTGCGCTGTGACGGTGGCGGGCAGGTTCGACGTGCTAAACAATTAAACACGATGCTGTTTTCAAGGCTGCGGGCGGGGGTTCATGGTTGTTCGCGGAATGTTTGCCACAGTTGGTTAGGATGCCCTCTCGTATTGTGTCGCTGTAGCTTGACCGCCCTTGTTGTATTTTTACGTCTTTGATCCGCCGCCTCTGCGGGAGGGCTCGTGCCGGGTTTGAAAAGCCTTCGCCTTTCGGCAACAGCCACTGCCTTGCTGCGTTTCGAAGGGAATGTTGGCGCCAGTGGGCACAGCTCGGGAGCTCTGCGGCTCTTTGTCGCGCGGTGTAAATATTGAAGGGGATGTTCAGCAGGCAGCACTTGATCCCGCGTCTCTTGCTGCGACGTTGCTAGCTTCTCGGTTTTCACTGCGACGTGGTGCCGAGAGCTGTGTGTTACGTGCAATGTCGTGGTCCCAGGGCTATGTATGCATGGAAGGCGTGATGAGAGTCCGGTGCCTTCCTGCTGTTGGTGAGCACGCCTTTGTGTGTTTTAAGATCAAAGTTGTTGACGCAGTTGTTCTTGACTTCATTGCCCTGACTTGTACAACTCCGTCAGTGACTTGGTCCATAAAATGTTTCGAAATCAACCTTTACCCTTGAATACACTAGAATCGATTTAAACCCAGCTAAGAGCCAATGGATTGATCAACGATTACAATGGAGAGTAACACATTTACATTTTAGACATAATTAGGTGGCTTTGTGGGTACTGCGCTATAACCCCAGCGAGCGCAGAGTTCAATCGCCCTGGTCATGGCTAGCGTCACCTGCGAATAATATCCGAACCTACCTTGAACCCGGGCCCTCCTTCTTTGCCAATCCACACTCGGCAGTACGCCGAGGTATTGACGACCAAAACCTCGTGACCAACAACGGCGTTGGAGGAAGGCCCTCCTCCCCCCACCGGATTGAAAAACGAGTACAAATTTTCAAATTGCATGTTTCTCATAGCTTTTTTTCACCGTAGAGTTCTTGGAGTTCTTCTTGATGTGTCTCTCCGTCAAAGGCGACACAAACAGGGATAATTTAGGAAGCTGTTGCTGCTTACCCTGTGATCATCTTGATTTTGGATGGTTTTCAGGATGTCCATTATTCCGTTGTGACCAAATTGGAAATCGATTTAATCATCTCACGATAACTGCCCCTCTCACTGAAGCAAGGTGTCGGTTTAAAAAAAAAAAAACGGGGCAATTGTTGTAAAATAAAAAATCTATCCTTGGTCTGAGTGTCGGTAAAAATAACTCCTCTGCTCGTTAGCGCTGATGGGGTGAGCAGCAGCAGGCATGTAACGATCACCCCCCCCTCCCCCCGCCAGTTAATGGATGGGCCGAGATTCGACTTGAAAATCCGGCTTTTTTTTCTCCCACCTTTTTGTTTGAATTGCATTTTTTTAATTGTTGGTTGCGTCTCATTTGTGCCATTTTTTTTTTATTCGGTCTATTGCCCAAAAAGCATATACATTTGCAGAATCCATAATTCATATATTCCCACTTGCACATTTTGACATGTGAGAACCGTAAGCTTGAGAATAGATTTAATCCATTTATTAATTAATGTGTTGTTATACCCCTGGTCACGTGTGTGCAAAATCTTGCCAACGCTGACGGTTGCCGCCTCCCCCTCTCCGCGCGCTTTTCTCCTGCAGCATCATCGGCGCCGTGCGAACCGGCGCGTACATGTGGTACATCCTCTCTACCAACGGCCTGCAGCAGTCTGTGTGCGACCAAAGCTTCTACAACGGGCCCGTCAGCAAGTTCTGGGCCTACGCTTTCGTGCTGAGCAAGGCCCCCGAGCTAGGTAAGCCCTGAGGCTTGGGAACCGGGGCTGACCTTTTGTGTCACGTGCTCGCAGGTAAAAGATGGAGGGGATTGCCACTGAAGGGACAACCACACAATTAAATTACCGCTGGCACGTCATGGCCATGTTTGGTAGACATTTAGTGATTCATCCATTACGTGGTTTGTTGAATTGTGACGATTTCTTGGTCACAATTCGATTCGTGGGTTGCTATTTAAATTGTTTACCGTTATGGTTGAATGCATTGCCTATGGCAATAATAATATGCTTATTATTTACGCAGGAATGCCCTCTTTCAAGAGCCCTGTGTTACAATTTGTGGCCAGTATTATTTACGAGTGTCTGGCATGTGGGAGAAAGCTGAAGTACCTGGAGAAAATACATGTGGGGGGATCACACTCAAAGCTGCGCACAGGTCAATTCAATCCACAGGCAGACTCAATCCTGGCCCCTTGCAGTCACTAAACCTACAACACCTGCTACACACTTGTGGGGTCACCCCATTTCAAGTAGTAACCAAGCTCATCCCTCCTCACCTTCCGAGATCTTATGAGAACTCGTGCACATTCATGGTGATTTAAACGAAACTGTAAACTATTTTTATTTTACCAGGTTTTTTAATAGCCCTTTTTCACAAGCGACCTAGCCACAAAAATGATAGCTCAACAAAGTGGCTTATCACGTGGAAATTTATAGCAGCCAAATACTCTAAATGTATGCTTCTAAATGTGGGGCGGAGAAACACCAGAGGACACAGAAAAATCCACGCGACCACGGGGAGAGAGAGACACGCAAAGTCCAAATATACAGCAGCAGGCGTCAGGGTCGGGATCGAACCCACGACCTCCTGTACACCAGACGAGGTAGTCGACATCTCGCCACCGCGCTTGTAGGCTAAAACCCCTCGCTGTGTGAAGTCAAGAGTGGGTTACGCGTTAGGCTGACGAAGAGCGGCTGCCCCACCGCGAGAGGTTCCATTTCACGGCACGACACGGGAAGCACCGCTACTGGAACATAACGTTGGGAAAACAAAAATAACCCCCCCACCGCAGGGTATGGAGGGGAGGGGAGGATGGAAGATAAACGAGCAGGAAAAAAAATGCAGCGCAACGGCGTTGGCAGCCAACTCAGCACGAGCCTCGGCGCTGTCGAGCCCGTGCCGTTTTTTTTTTGCCCTCCGCTCGTGCCAAGCTGGACTGGAGCAGCGGCAATTTTGTGAAACTGCCTCCGTAGGCAGGCTTACCCTTGTCTCCCGGCTGCCGTGTATCACGCGCCAGCGCTTGGCTGCCAGGAGTGTGTGTACAGGGGGGTAGCGGAGGGCACGAAGCCAACAACCCTGGCAAAGGCGGCATCCCTCCCTGGCCCACCAGCGCGATCAAATATGCAACCGTTACAAAGCTGTGTCATTCGATCCCGACGCTTGACGCCTTTATATTTGGAGTTTGCGTGTCTCTCTCCCTATGGTCGCGTGGATTTATTTTTCCCGGGTCCTCCGGTATTTCCCTCCCACATTGAGAATCCGACGTACGTTTTTCGCACGATAATTCACTTATTTGGGCTATCATTCGTGGCCAAGATCGCTTCTGAAAAAAAGCTGTAAGGCTCGGTGGGCCATGCTTGGTAAAATAAAGAGTTTCAAAATGTTTTTGCTGGCGTCTGGCCACGAGTCGTCTGTCGCGGTTGCGCGGACGGCTCGTGAGCCGTCCTGGGGATAACATTTTTTATTTATTTAACCAAACGTAATATTATACTTTTTTTTTACACCCTTCAGCCGCCGATGCGACATGCTTACGCATGCCGTCTAGGAATTAAACAAAGTAATCCCACGTGATTCAGTTGTGTACGAGGTTCGAAATGTACATGTGAAGTACCGGTGAAGACACTTGACGCCGAGGTGGAGGCACACGGATATTTATTCAACACAACTCGTATGTGACATACAGCACTGGAGGGGGTATCGGCCCCCTCACCCGACTAGCTTAAGGATACACTTCCTGGCTAAGTCCTAGCCTACCTCACAGTCCTCCACTACTGGGCTAGGGGAGGCTACTTGGCCCGACACTGGTAAGTCGGGCCGGTACCCGGAGTCCCAGACCAGCTCTTAGAAGAGCACCGGCTCTGGCTTTCGGGACCACGCCGCTGGCTCGGTCCTGTTCGGCCCTGACAAGGACATCGAACGAGGGAGTCCAGGGCTCTATCTAAGACGTCTTCAGTCTTCTTAGTTAACTATAACATAACTAACTCCCGAGCCCATATAACGTCCCCTTTTATACCCAACCCTCCCTGAGGGGTGGGGCCCCGGGGGATCATAACGCCAAACCAGCCCCCCCCAGGGTGTCTGGCTCGGACGTCGCAGAGGGCACCTCCCTGTGCACACACGTAGCCCCGCCCACTGTGTTTCTTTCCCATAGACTGCCATACATAACGGCCCTCTTTCTAACATCCCTACACATGAAAGGGATATTTAGGTTCGTCTGTCCTTGGGTTATTCAATTCCCCAGCTCGTGCGTGCCGTGCACGCATTGCAATGCGTCGTGGGTGAAGAAGCTGATGAATTTGTCAAACATAACAGTACATCCTGTGCGTTGGCACACGTCGGCACGGTGCATGCGAATCCTGCATTGCGTTTATAGCAGAGCAACTAAGTGGGGCCTGATATAATGGGACTAATATTGTAGTTATATTTATTTGGTTTAATATATTTACCAGCTTTGGTTGTTACATTATCACTGCTGCTCTCAACGTCCGTTTTGTTTTAATTCTTCGCACCTCTGCCCCTTTCTCTCCATCTCTCTACCCATCTGATCATCTGCTCCTTGAACCTCACATCTGGTTTGCCTGCCTCGCTACCTGCATATTTATCTTTCTATCTCCCCCCCCCCCCCGTCTCGTTGTGTACGTTCCTCTCCCTGTCTTGCCGTCCCCCTCCATCTCCCACCCGTGCATCAAATTGCTTCACTATTTCAACGTCAACCTCTACCTACCTTCTCCCCAACTCAACGCCTCCCCTTGCCGCCCCCCCCCCCACCTCCACACATTCCCCGGCGCGCGCACGCAGGAGACACCATCTTCATCGTGCTGCGCAAGCAGAAGCTGATCTTCCTGCACTGGTACCACCACGTGACGGTGCTGCTCTACTCCTGGTACTCCTACAAGGACATGGTGGCCGGCGGCGGCTGGTTCATGACGGTCAACTACGGGGTGCACGCCGTCATGTACTCGTACTACGCGATGCGCGCCGCCGGCATGCGAGTGCCGCGCCTGCTCGCCATGCTCATCACGACCACGCAGATCGGGCAGATGGTGCTCGGCTGCTTCGTCAACGTGCTCGTCTACCGCTGGATGCGCCTGGGCCAGTGCTCCTCCTACGTGGAGAACATCGTGTGGTCCTCGCTCATGTACTTCAGCTACCTGCTGCTGTTCTGCCACTTCTTCTACGACGCCTACCTCAGGCCGCAGAGGAGAAGCCTCAAGATTGAGTGAGCGTGCCCCGTCCTGCCCCCCCCTGCCCCCCACACACCAAGGCAGAGATGGACGGAGGGAGGGGGATTTGGGTTGAGGCGACTTGGTGAGTCGTTGAGGTCTGTGAGGAGAGAGGCGTTGCCTTCCTATGCCCCCCACCCACCCCCTGGGTGCCGTGATCCTGCCCGCTTGCTGGTCTGGCCACTCGCCCCACCGGCTCACCTGCCCACACACCTTACGCCGCCCCCAACCGTTCTCCCTCCCGTCCGTTCGTCCATCCATCCATCCCAGGCCAAGCCTCCCTTTACCCCTCCCCTCTCATCCTTCCGGATTGGCATTTTCCCGAAATATTCTCCGGCACCTGGGACGACCGGGCGCGTCCATCCTGAGGTTTAAAACGGACAGTAAGCGGAGCAAAGTTCTTCTTCCTATATCGCACCAGACGGTTTTACTCACACGCAACGCTTGTAGGACATAATGTACTGTGAAGAGAAGCAAATTTTAAAATTATATATATATTGTTGTTTTGGCGTGTTTTGTTGCCAATTCATCGTGATTTCTTTTTTTGTGTTCTGTTTATTTAATTGGATAATCAAACGCATTCCAATCGTTTCCTCTGATACTTCACCAATTCAACCACCCACCGGCCCCATTAAACTGCTCGTGCCGATTTCCCCCCCGCCCCCCCCCCCCCCGGTGTTGAGCCGCGTCGCCTAAACCTGGCAGCGAGGCTGTGGGTGAGACCCCCCCCCCCCCACCGAGCACGCTTGAGCGTGTGCCCTGTCCGTGCTTGGCGCGTGAGAAAGAGTTTGTTGTGTTGTATACTGACCGACTTGGCCTGGCCCCACGTGGCCAGTGCGGGAGGGAGGGAGGGAGGGGGTGGGGGCCCCCTGCACATGCCTCGGGGAACGGCGCGCGGCTCTGGGACAGTCTAAAATGCTCTGACGTGGTACGAACCCAACGCTTGACTTGTTAATGAATCTATCCCCCCCCCCCCCCACCTTAGTCCCATGTGCTGATCACGTGTGATAATAGATTCAATGCAATGATGTTCGGTGTACCCGTTGGCGCTCCTTCCCAAACCGCTTTGACTGCTCCGAGTGCACGCGTTCGTCGCAAGACGAGAGAGCCCGCTGACCTTCGGGTGACGGGTGGCTTTTGTGAACCTGGTCCAGACCTCCTCGCCTAGGTCGACTCGACCTAAAATGAACACCTGTTCGTGATTTGGCCCCACCGTGCACCCGCCTATCTATCCCCTCTTGTGCGACGCACTGGCCTTGATAGGTTATCGCTCGCAGCACGTGCCTGATACAAAGACAAAACACCCCCCCATAGCCTTAACAGACTGTCGGGGCAAGTACTGTTAGCAAGCAACTATGAAGGCCGGCACGGCACACGGGGGTGGGCGGCCAGCACCATGCCCGGCCGCGCCTATGTCTTCCTCTTGGAGATGTTTACAAACCGCACCAGGTACTCATTTGAGGCAGTCTACCTAGGGGAGACCCGTGACCAGTTCAGATAATTGTTGCTGGTTGGTATTGGCTGTGGGCGGGAATCAAACTCTGGTCTGCCGGGTTCGTAGCGCAACGCGCTAACCGCTGCACTACCGCTCCCCTGTTATGATTTGGCCCCACCATACCCCTCCCTCTACCTATCCCCTCGTTGTGTGACGTGCTGGCCTTAATAGGTTGTCGCTCTCGGCACGTGCCTGATACGCACGTGCGTGCGCACACATCCACACTCACACGTGCATACCATGTACAAAGTTTACTAGCGGAGGGGGGTGAAAAGACGAAAAGTGCAGAGGGTGCAGCTCTCTCCCATCCTTTACAGTTGAGAAGCGGTCGCGGAGCAGTTTGGAGTTGCAGTTTGAACGCCTCCCAACCGCGGCAGCGGGACGCCGATGTGGAATCGAGCGCCCTTTCCTCCCACTGCGTCCGCCGTGGGGCTGAAGCCCCCCTTCCCCCCCCCCCCCAAGTCCATCCTCGCTCTCCGACCGCGACCGCTTCGAGTGGAATTTCTGCACGGGCTCCTCCGCCCCTTCCCCATGCGCCGCCCTCCCGTGAACCCGGACGCTCGCTCGCGAACGACGATCTCGTTTGTCCACGCAGCTCGCTCACCGTCACGGTGCCGAGGAAGGAACACCGCTCGCGCTCTCGCTCGCTCGGGGACGCGGTCAATTTATTCCCGTGGTTGTTTTCAATCCCCTCCGCCTCGTCTCTGAAATGCTTTAATGTACCAAATGTCGATTCGTCCAAATGTGTCATCAGGGGGGCTCTGTTTGTTATTGCAATGAGAAGAAATGAAAATGTCCTATGTTTTTTGTTTTTCTCTGCGGAATCGTGAAGATTTGCTTTCGCGGTCTCAACGGTCAAAAGTTGCACTCGCTTCTGCACATCGCGCAGTCACCTCGCAGCGAGGGTTTTCTCGTCCGTGGATTTTTTTAAAAACCAAACATCCATGTTTAAAAAAAAAAAGAATAATGTTAATAAAATAAACTTTCTGTTTTACCCCCCACCGCCCATTCCCCGAAGGAACATTTTTTTACTTTCATTGCATTTAATGTCGGAGCTGGCGAGCGATTTTTTTTTTTGATCCACCTTCCGGCGAGATGAAACGGGTCCCCAACCGAGGCCGAGAGCGGTTGAGGCAAACCGTGCCGCCACTCGCTCGCGGCTCCGGTGTGCCCTCTTGCGTTACCCCTCGCACGCACCCTCTACTACGGTAGAGAGCTGGGCCCCACTGCAATAATCTCTCTGCGTGTCATCAGGGGTGGCAGCCGGAGGTGGAGGTGGCAATGTTAGATAGGCGGGGGGGAGGGGCAGCGAACGTTCTTTTGCAGATGCAGTTCTGTTGGTCTCGGTTGCCTTTTGAATGTTTGATTTACATTTTAAGCAGTACCTCCTGTTGTTACAAGGGCTACGGTTGCGCGTCTTCACGTCCGGCGCAGTTATGATTTCATTCGTTTGTTTGCGCTGGCCTGTTTGTGTGTGTTACGCGGTGGTGTAGCGGTTAGCGCTACGAACCCGGCGGCCGGAGTTCGATTACCACTCGCGGCCAACACCGGTGACGATTATCTGAACCGATCCTGGGCCTCCCCTAGGTCGACTCGGCCTCAGGAGTACCTGGTGCGGTTTGTAAAAACATCGCCACTGGGGAGACAAAGGCGATCGGGCGTGGTGTTGGCCACCCAACCCCTTCGTGTGGGATCTATGTTTTGTTTTTGTGTTGCGCAAGAGCACCTTGGCTCAACAGTCACCACAATGCTTGCTTGGTTTCCCCCCGTCTGATGTGTGATTCACGTTGTGTTTATAATGACGAATGACCATTGAACCACCTCTTCCACAGCCCTACCGGCCACCCCACCACCTATCCCAGAAACAATGCAATATGCTGCCTACAATATCCAACAGTTGTGGCCTCGTAATAGCTGCCAATGCGAGTTTGAGATTAACTTTGAATTGCATTATAGTTCAATGTGGAAGGGTGGGGACGAACCATTTTTCATGATTATAGGTTTTTTTTTGCACAAACCATCTCTGATCATTTGTATTAGTCCCACTTTAATCCTATGGAATTATGGATCAGCCGTAGTCTTGGAAGTCAGATTTGAAAGTGTATTTTTTAAATATAATATGTACGACACGCATGCGACCAAATGTATCTGCGCGTGCGTATGGCATGGACCTCATGTTGACCATAAAGCTTCAACATTTGTTCCTGGTGGCTTTGTACGACGAGAATTTGAAGTTTGAAACGACGCTTGCTCTTAATTTATTTTCTGCACACATTTTTTTGCTTCTACCCCTGGGCGTTTTGTAATTTCCACTTGGGCGGTATTTGTTACGTTCACAAAAATATCTATAAAAATGCCCCCTTGATTTTTTTGACATACCGGCAAAAGTAAAAACCCCAACATTGTTGGAAATAAAAAAAGAATGTTTAATTTATATTGCGTGCTTCGTAATAAGATGAACATTATTGGCAGGCGGGGGGGGGGGGGGGGTCCGTACGTTTTTAGAAAGTATTTTTTACGTATTGCATACCTGCTTATAACATTTTAATGTCCCCAATGCGACCTGGATTAGGGGGCGGTGGGGTAGTGGTTATGTGGAGCCGTTTGGTGGTGGGACGGGGGGGGGGGGAGCGCCGTGTCTGTTGCAAGTCGCTGGTGTTGAGTCCTGGCACCAGAACGCAGGTTAATCGGGCTTCCTGCGGGTCCAAAACTATTTAAAGTAAAAACTAAAACTTTCGTTAAAGTCACGTAGGTAAAAAAATGAAATTAAAATTATTTTAAAAAATTTGCTTTTTATTATTTTATTTTTTATTAATTTTAATTTCTATTTTTTACCTACGTGACTTTACCAAAAGAACTAAGAGTATGAATCCTTGCAGTCACGAAAGCTTCAAATCTAGAATAAAAACTTAAACGTTGAAGCCTCCAACGCCCAACAGCCAATGCTATTCCAAAAATGAATTGCACACCTCTCCTCCGAGCTTATAATAAAAATGTCAACCACGTGCACGACGCTACGTTTGTGATGGCATCGATGTTGGGCATCTTAACGATTCGCCTGCCTTGATGTCGGGGAATTGTCACGATGTTAGATCTCGCTTTGATTTAAGATGTATTTTTTTTAAAACATGTTTGCATTGTGTTACATGTGCCCCTTGCTGGCTGGCGGAGTCGCCCTGACTCCATTACCACAGATATGAAATTAACTAAATTGATCATTTTATACACACACACACACGATTCAAAGCATTGTATTGTGAGTGTTAGGCTCAGTTTTAATTAATATGTGCATCATTACACGCCGAATGTTTGTGATGGCACGTCACGGGTGCTGGAAAATGTACTCGTGGCGACAGGACATGTATATTATACATCGCATCCTTTTTGTTTTAATATCTGGGCCAATATCGAATGTCGTCGGCTCGTGAAGTTTCGTTTGCGATTGACTGGATAGGAGGCGTGGGTGCCACTGATTTCCCCGCCCGTTCCCTTTCCAATAATTACTCCCCCCCCCCCCCCCCCAAACAACAAATAAGAATAAAAAAAAAAGTAATGAATGTAGTTTTTGTTAAAGCTCGCCACGAATTCGACCCAGTAACGGGGCCCGGCCGTCGTCTTCGTTTGCCTCGCCTCTTGTGAGCGAGCGAGTGTCACGTGATGTGAGTCCACCACCACCGCCGTCGTCTTTGCCGAGGGCCCGGGGCAGACTGTCCACCCCGGGCCCCCATAGCCCGGCCGAGCAGCTCCCCACCACCACCACCACCACCCCCGTTGCGCCGTGGCCAATCTTCCCATCCGTGGTCAAAGCGTTCGTCGGGCAGCGGAAGTTCTTCATTATTTTTTTTAAGTTTCTGACCAAATGACTGAATGAGATCCATCGAGCACGACTCTGATTATAATGACCACAATCCCCACCTCGACCTAAAGACCCTGAACGTGACTGGCCATGAGAACAAAACCAACGGGTCGGAGTGAAGCCTCGGGCTAAGCATAAAGTAAGTAGCGAGAGAGTTGTTTTTTTAGATACTGCAGTGCACGGAGGAACACAGCAGAATGGTAATCTTCTGCGAAACATTTGCAGAGTTTACGGATCTGCCAACCTAAACGCATTTGGCTGGGGGCAGCGGAGTGGGATTATGGGTCAACCCCCCAACCTCGCACCAGCGTTTCGTGTCGAAGAAGTGGACACGTTTTTACAGCTTTTAGTTTCAACGCGTAGTAGTTAATTCTAGATTTGAAGCTTTCGTGACTGCAACTATTCATATTATTATGTTTTTTCGGTAAAGTCACGTAGGTAAAAAAATAAAAATTTATAAAAATAAAATAACGTAGTGATTTTTATTTTACTTTTATTAATTTTTATTGTTTTACCTACGTGACTTTACCGAAAAAACCTAAGAATATGCGTAGTAGTTAACTTTCGCTACCAATATTCATAATAGAGGGGAGGGAGGGCGAGAGGTTAGGAAGTGCAATGGAAAGGTTTGGTGGTGGTGGTGGGTAGCACGCGTTTCAGAGGAACATCTTAATCCAAAGTTGTTTAGACGCTCACGTGGCCCAACAGAAGTGGGTTTTTTGGGAGAAGTGGGTTTTTTGGGGGAAGTGTGTGTTGAGCCGTGCTATTGTTGGCTTCCGAGCGTCGCTTGTCACGCAAGTCACCGCGGTTTTGCTCGGGGCGGTGCATGAAAATCTTCTTACGAGCGGGCTTGTGGTGTCGCCCAGGGGTCGGCAACCGGGCGGCTATGTAAGGACCGCTCCGTGCTCGTATTTATTGAGGAGCCACCGTCTCTCGTATTCACCGCAAAGTGCATCGCGACTCTTGAAAGATTGTTGGGGGGGGCGGCCGGGCGGGGTTACTGAATTCGTACGAAAAAAAAGGATTGGCTCCGCACAGAAGAACGTGGCACCTGTTGAGCACGGGCTGTGTGCTGCTAGAGGGGAGGTCGTAGAAGGTAGGAGGACCCAGGGTCCACCTCGCACCACCCGGAGGGCCCACAACCCCCGCCTGTGCCACTTCCATGATGCCACGGTTCGGCAGTTCACGAATTCGCGCGCGGCTGCCCCTTGATCCGAGCCGGCACGAGGAACAGCGTTACGGGCTTCCCTCGCTTTGTGCGAGAGAAGTAGATGGCACGAGACGGATGTCTGCCCAGGAGCGAATGCAATGCACACAAACAATGTTGTCCCACGTCCGACCCGCATAGCCGCATGTTGAGCGAATTCAAACCGCGCAGAGCGAACTATGGGTATAAATTGGTGATGCGCATATTCAGCGCGAAATCGCACAAAACGAGACCGCAAGAAGCGAGGTAGACTTCTCTTTTTTTTAGTGGCTGAATGCGAAGCTTCTATTGAGAACATACCGAGCCCCGGGCACGTAACCGTCCATAGATTAACCGATTCAAATCGCGTCTTACGTCTGTGGAATATGCGTTGAATCGTGCGTTAAATGATACTGCGCAGCTGAATTAGATGCATCATTGCATTGTTACATTATTGAATTTAGGCTAATGGAACGAACAAAACTGTACCAACAGGATGGAACCTATGAGACACGATGCGTTATGCGATGGAAAAATATGAGATGGAAATAATTGATTCTCGAATCAAATCGTGACCCCGAAGAGTTAAATCGAATCTCTGGAGGGGCAGTGGGGGGGGGAATCATTATGCGCCTGTTGGGCCCCGTGTCACACCGATGGTCTAAACCAGTGGTTCTTCTTCTTCTTAACCTGGGGTGCGAGATGCCCTTTCTGGGAGTGCGAGACACGGACAGATTTCTTTTTAGAAGGTAAATCATCGAAAACACAAATTAAGCACGGCCACGTAAATACAACGACTTTGTTTCATTTAACCCCTATGTATTTATTAACATAGTACGGTTTTTTTTAAAGATTGAGAACCAAAGGGGTGCAAGGCCGCAGTAAAGGTCAAGGGTTACGCTTAGAGTTGCTGGGTGAACGGGCTGCATGGGGCTTTGTCTCTGAAAGGTCCCGTGACCTTGACTTGCCACCTGTTCAAGGCACATTTTTATCAGCCATCCCGCAATAGCCGTATACCATAACTGTTGTCCAACAAGGCAGATTTGCAATTCACCGGGCACAAAGCCGGGGTCACGATTTGGTGTGCGAAGTGATCGTTGTCTTCTGAGCTTGTGGTAAATGTTGTAGCGCCTAAAGTTGGCCTTGTTGATCACGCGAACCCATTACGAAAACAAAACACGTAGCGGACACGAATCGGCAATCATTCTCACGCGCACCATTCGATGCGTGCATCACGAGCGTAATAGTTTCATCGGTGTGTCGACGCATTGGTACATGCTAATGAGGCGGCTTAATTGACAACGGAGTGGGTGTTTGGGATAGTTGCCACTCGGGTACATTACACTAGTAGCCATCGACTCCACTGCTAGGCTGTCATCACCGGTCTTTCGTTCGCAAGCAAAGAGAAAGCCGCTTCGCATTGCACGCGCCGGGAGGTTTGTGTAATCACAAAAAAAAATCTGTGCCGTGGGCGGGTCATGCGTAATGGAGTTGAGAAATTCTGCGCTGGACCTTGACGAATTCCTCTTGGCTAATCGAGGCTCTGCTTGTGAATACCGGTGGTTTTATAACGTAGGCTTTCACGGCCAATGTTCCGATTCGTAATTGGTTTCTTTTTTTTTGGGGGGGGGGGGGGGGGGGGGGAGTTGGGGTCGTGGAAAAATGCGCGTCGTAAACCCACCCCCTACAACCAATTAATGAACGTGTCGCGTCAATCGAGCGTGCCAAATGTACTCCTGCTGCTGCTGCAGCAGAACCACCGGTGCTGTTGTTGCAGTTGAATGTCACGAATTGCATGGGGGAGGGGGGACGATCTCGACATCTGAGCTCCTGTTAACAAGCTGACGATGCTGGATGCAATCTCCAGCGACACGTCGTTACCCATCTCAACTTCGTGACGTTCCTTCACCAACAACAACACCGGTAGTGATGCTGCTGCTGCTGCTGATGCAGTTGTAAAATATTCACGTTTTATTCCCGCGACACTTGTATTAATTAACTGTGTCGGGTGGAGGAGGGTTTACGACACACACTTTGTTTTTTTTTACACAACCTAACCCACAAGAAACCAATTATGACCCAGTGGTTTTCTTTTTTTTTATTTCAATTATTGCAACGGCACACGCACGGCTTCATTCCAGCCGGGTCTGTGCGTGTCGGCGGCCCGAAGAATGTGTCCGCTTATCCAGCAGCTGGAGCCACGACCAGGTTTGCGTGCCTACTCCAGACTGGGAAATGAAGCCCAGGGCGCATGGGGGAATGATTTTTAAATGGGAGGACACGGGGGGGGGTCAATTAGATATGGGGGCGGGGGGGTTGGAGCCTATAAAATCCGTGTACACAACATAAGAACTGCTTTTTGTCCTTCCCCCCGCTCCTCCGATTAGC